CACATGGATTGTATTTGTATTATGAATAGAGATTATGTGTATTTGTGTCTCTCTAGATCTGGGTCCCTATCTCATCAAATCATCTGATTGGTCAATAAAACTTCATTTGAAATTTAGTTTTATCATCCAATAAGATTACTGTATTTTCTATCTGGATTTTATCATTGTTATGCTTTTGAAAATAAGACCCTAGGTCTGTATACTTGTTTTCTGGATTTTATATTGGCAGATGCCAGGCAAATGTCAAATTTTAAACAGCATCTGTGGTGAAACAAGATAGATAACTTTCTATTTATCTATATTTTATGTACTTTTTCAATATTGCAGCTTTTATATTTATGATAATGAGATACCTACAAGTTAAAGAATATGTTCTATCAACGTATAGAATCGGTAACACTATGACCTTGACCAGCAGAAACAGAAAACTGTTGGTCAGTAAAATCTCCTTGGTGATTGGAATATTGGCCAGTATAGGGGCCAGTATGGTCGGCAATTTTCAGGTTGGTATTTGTACCTAAAGTAGACTGAACTTATAGCTTTGATTCGCTACACATCCCTTAGCTTTACGATGTCAAGACAAATCTGTCAAAGCCAGTTTGATTCGTCTGTCTCTGATTGATTGCAAAGACCAGAGCGAAGCGAAGAAGTAAGACAATATCCTACTCCTTCATCTAGCATGAAAATGAACTTGCGAAGGTACAGCACAGTTAAAACTTCGCTTCATAGCTGAGCTTTTTAGCTTGCTACGCTCGAGCGAAGAAAAACCTGCGCTTCACTTAGGGGAGTATAAACCAGCCTTTGGAAATGTAAGCTAATGCCAATATCCTTGGAAAACTTTCCCTTATTTCCTGCTGCATTGTATTGCTTGTCTTCATTGAACCCAACTTGTTCAAAATTAAAACATCTAAAATTTTATTGTTAATTTCACTAACCATCACGTTTCTTGGCTGCTTATATTTCAGGAGGACAATGTAATAGTTGCTCACATTATCGGAGCCTACATGGCGTTTGGTCTTGGTGGTTTATATTCTTGGATACAGGCTGTCTTATCTTATTATATTCCTGAAATACACGGCTCATCTAAAGCAGCTCGACATATTCGAGTATTATGTTGTATATTAGCCACAGTAGCTTTTATACTTAGTATCCTTTTCAACTTACTTGAGATTCTGGCGGCGTATTTTGGAAACGATCTTAGCACTAGGATATCTTCAGATAATTGTTAGAAGCCAAGATCATAGGATAACAGTGTAAGAAGTTAAGACTCTAGGCCTAGGATATCCTAGAAACAGTGTTAGAAGATAAGACACTAGGATATCCTAAAATCAACCTTAGAAGATAAGACACTAGGATATCCTAGAAACAGTGTTAGAAGATAAGACACTAGGATATCCTAAAATCAACCTTAGAAGATAAGAACCTAGGGTATCCTAGAATCAATGTTAGAAGATAAGAACCTAGGATATCCTAGAAACAGTGTTAGAAGATAAGACACTAGGATATCCTAGAAACAGTGTTAGAAGATAAGACACTAGGATATCCTAAAATCAACCTTAGAAGATAAGACCCTAGGATATCCTATAAACAGTGTTTGAGGGTAAGAACCTAGGATATCCTAGAAACAGTGTTAGAAGATAAGACACTAGGATATCCTAAAATCAACCTTAGAAGATAAGACACTAGGATATCCTAGAATCAATGTTAGAAGATAAGAACCTAGGGTATCCTAGAATCAATGTTAGAAGATAAGAACCTAGGATATCCTAAAATCAACCTTAGAAGATAAGACACTAGGATATCCTAGAATCAATGTTAGAAGATAAGAACCTAGGGTATCCTAGAATCAATGTTAGAAGATAAGAACCTAGGATATCCTAGAATCAATGTTAGAAGATAAGAACCTAGGGTATCCTAGAAACAGTGTTAGAAGATAAGACACTAGGATATCCTAAAATCAACCTTAGAAGATAAGACACTAGGATATCCTAAAATCAACGTTAGAAGATAAGACACTAGGATATCCTAGAAACAATGTTAGAAGTTAAGTCCCTGTCATATCCTAGCACTAAGATTGTTTCAAGAACTGTGGCCAGGTTGATATTTTTCAACCTGGTTTTCCCCTGTCAGTGATGCAGGTATGAGTGTCTGACAGAGAAAAGTGTCTTGTCCTTTGAATGAGAAAATAAGCCTTCTCATGGTTTGTGTGCTACAGGCTGTATATATGAAAGATCCCTTGAGAGATGGAAACTGGAAAAGGGTAGGCTAATGTCACAGTGCTGGCAAAATGTTTTCAATGCAATGCAATCAATCAGGAATCCTGTAAGGGGTAATAGAAAGGAAAAAGTTGAAAACGTCTGCTGTATTATAATTCCTTAACATGTACCTAGTGAATATATTTACTGCATTATCTATGCAGAAGTTTAAAGGGGACATGAAACATTGGACACCCAACCAAACAGTAAGTTCTCACTTCTTATCTATTGTTATTGTTGATTAGAAGTGTCATCCCAGATAGGCAAGGTGTCACTCACACATTGTGGACAGGCTCGATATTCTATATTGTCCCTGTGTCCCAAACGGTACCAAAATACAGTTGAGGGGTAGGCTTAACGTACAGAGTTATACAAAGCAGTCAAAATCCTACCCCTTGACTTTATTGTGGTACTTTGTAGGACACAGGGACATCCCAGATTATTGGCAATATTTCAATCGACACATTAATAGCTCAGCTGTGTATAAATACAAAAAGTTATACCAAATTGGGCTTTTATCTTGGTGAAAATTCTCAAAAACTATTGACCAAAAATGGGTCTGAGCAACTCCCATAAAAATTGACATAACTCTGGCCCTAAACACAGTTCAGGCCCCGTATTCTCTAGCGCTATGTTCTTATCTTCTAACATTGATTGTAGGACATCCTAGCACTAAGATCATTTCGAGAATACGTGGCCTGATATCCCATCCAAATATCACGTTGGAGGAAGTGGGTATTGCCAGATTTGCCAGTCTAATATCGTGGGTG